CAGCGCACCTCCAGCCGCGACTGGCGCGGGACGCCCCGCCTGGCCGCATGCGCGATGACGTCCGCTGACGTCACGTCGTCTCGCCCCGCCTCCGGCCTGGAGCGCGTGAGGAGTTCGCCGAGTACCGGAGGAGAACGCAGGCTCGGTGCCATGGCTGTCACGCTGCCGGAGGTCGTGGAGGAGCTCCTGAGCGAGATGGCCGCCGCTGTGCGGGACGGCACGAGAAGTAGGGCCCGCGGGCTTTTTATTCTTACCCCGCACGGTTCTGCCTCTAATGCCTGTGCTCGTTAAGTTGTTTAAACACAGGAATTTGAGTGATAGACGTCAGATTCCGGAGCGCGAGCCGGCTGGTGGGGACCTCGGGTGCTTGAAGAGAGCCTGGGTGCACCGTGGGTGTAGGCAAGGGTCAGGGCTTCGGAATGGCAGAAGCCTAGACAATTTTGAGTTACTCAGAATCTGTTTCCACAATCCGTGATGCAAAGTTTAAAAATAATATTCTCCTTTAAGAAAAAGTACTCTTCCTATACTTTGTTTAGAAAAATATTCTAGAGTCCCAAAACCTAAACATCTAGCCGTTGAAAGATACTTTCCCCCTGTGGTCAGCAGGGGGCGCCCCCTGTCTTCAACGAAAAGACCAAACAAGATGATTTTTGCATACTTGCTGGTGTAGAGGAGGATCTTCTCAGTAGCTCAGCTGCAAGATGGCTTGCCCGACATGCATTGAGCATAAGACCAGGCACAAGGCTGAAATCTCCGCACTTGGGAAGTTGGAGACAAGAGAATCAAAAGTTTAAAGTCAGACTCAGCTACATAGTGCTAGGCCAGATGGGCTACTGTAGGAGACTGTCTCAAAAAGGGGGGAGGGTCGGGAAGATCCTTTTAGACTGATTAGAAGCACTCTGTCAAAAATGGCGCCTCAAAATAATAGTCAAATTAGAGCTCAAAACTGCTACTGTCCATTCATCGCGCTGTGTGAAAGGGTTTGAGTTTCTGCTTTAAAGGGATGAGAAAAATAATGTTCTCATTTTGCTCTTTTACATATGTATAAAAGATTTGGTCAACCAGGTAGTCAAACACATTTTGATTCCAGAAGAGTTGTGGGGGTGTCTGTTGTGAGCTCTTGATTCCTGGATTCGACCATAAATGTTTGGGGTTTTACACACCCCTTGCCAGAACCGGGATGTTAATGAGAGTGGGTTGATCTATATCAACCCCACTGAAGAGGACCCCACTGACATTTGACATCCCAAGGTCAGGATAGAGTTCTGTTTACTTTCAGTGGCGCCGTTTTCTGCTGATTCGAAATCTTGGCTCTTCCTAATCCCAATTCTTCATTGGTAACCTTGCAGAAGAAAAGTCCAGGTTACTTGTGCATGTTGTATGAACTTGTTGGAGCTGAGCCATATAGGAAGCTATGGTTCCTTTCCCGTATAACTTGGACTCCTTGTACTATAACCGTCTCGGCTTTGTATGCTTACTTAAACCCCGAAATTTTTGCCAGTGTTACAAATCTCCACTCAAAACGTTAAGGCATTTTATCAGTTGTACTTTTCCCTAAAGAAATATGTCCAAGAGCCTGCTGACTTGCCTCATGTGAATCGGCTGTTGTCGACGGGAACTACAGTGATCTTCCTCACTGTTGCAGTCCTGGGAATTCTCTTTACCCACTTTGGTCTTATGTTTAGCATAGCCTGCAAATTTCTTTCCTCTCATTTATTCATGTATATATTGTTTCCTGTCTTATGAAGTCCAGTACTTCAGTAAGTTCCTGAAGGAGGCATGAACTAAATTTTTGAGGCTTTGAATGTCTGAAAAAGGTTTTTCTAGTCTCACACTTCATTGAAAGGTATTAAATTACACGTAAGAAAGAACATTTCTTCATCTGAAAGCATTATTCCATAACAGTCCAGCATTTTGCATCTAGCATTGTTCCTGAAATAAAGTCTGTGGCCTTTATTTCCTCTGGGTGTGGCAGGTCCTCCGTAAGCGCGGATGTCTGTTCCCTTTCGAAGATCACGTGTAACCACTCACCTTCCTTTCTACTTTAACATGCTTTAAACCAACTCGAGATTACTCACGAAAGTTGGCCGCTGCAGCACCAGAGCTGTAGGTGGATGTTACCCCTTGTTGCTTAGAGGAGAATGACCGAAGAGTGACATGGGAGGTGGGGGGGGGAAGGGGTTGGGGTGTTGGGAGTGCTGGTGTCTGTTTCCTTTTGTTTGGTCTCTTTGTAGCCCAGGCTGGCCTCAAGTTCAGTATTCGTGCCTAAGCCTTCTGAGTTTCAGTTACAGGTGTGTATCTGGCTTTTCAATTTCTTTTTAAAAATTTTGTGTGTATGGGTGTTTTGCCTGTATGGGTATCTGTGTATCATGTGGGTGCAGTGCCTTCAGAGGCCAGAAGATGGCATCAGATCCTGTTGAACTGGACTGTGAGGGAGCTGGGGTGTGAACCCTGCTCCTCTCTGGTCTTAACTGCTGAGCCCTCTCTCCATACCCTCAATTTTTACCTCGTGTTAATCCACGGATGTTGATCCCATGGGTGTGGAGAGCCAGTTATATCTTGTTTATGGCCTTGATTATCAATCCTCTGATACGATTTTGTTCGTTTTATTTTTATGTGTGTGTGTGTCTGCATGTGTTCATGTATTATGTGTAAGGAAGCCCCCAGAGGCCAGAAGAGGGTGTTGGATCTGTGGCAGTACAGGCAGGTAAGAGCCACCCAGTATGGGTGCTGCAAACCAAACTCTAGCCGGCTTTGAGAGCTGCAAGCTCTCTTAACGGATGAGCCGTCTCTTCAGCCCCTGGTTTTGTTTACCACTCCATCCTGCGGGTACTCTTGATGTACTTGATAAATGATTTTTTTCTTTCTAGTGTTCCTATCACTAGGTTATGAAATGTTGTTTACTGTCCCTCTGCTTCTTGGGAACTTCTTCAACTGTATCTTCTAGATTTTCTATGAGGTTTGAATTTCTGATGTTATATTTAATTCACATTGTTCCGCTGAAAATGATGTTGTCCCCATGCCCGTTTCAGTGCATTAGCTGGTTTGTTCTGATATTACTAATAGGCGGTAGAACCTTCCCTCTGGCCAGTGTTTCCTCTCGACAGGTTGCTTTCCTTATTTCTCTTCTCTTTTTACTTTGTAGTGATGATTCTTGTCACGTTTTAGAGGAGAAGACTCAAGCAAGGACTTCTAGGTGATGAAGGTCACTGTAGTTCTCACTGGGTTCTTAGCTGGAGCATCCATTCCAGTGCTGTCTCCTGTTGGCGTCCTCAGATTCCCCAGTCTCTGGCTGAGAAGGTGTTGCCTGGGAGAATAGCTCAGTGGCAGAGGGAAGAAGAGGAGGGTTGACTGCTTATCGTACAAGAGTCGTGATGGGAAGAGAGCAGCAAGTCCCTGTTTTGGGTGTTTTCTCCTAGCCTTGAAATCCTCTATTAGAGCCTCTCTTGAGAGTCAGTGGTCATCTGCCAGAGTGAGGGAGCAACAGCCACCTACAGCTAAAAGGGAACTGGGGTTGATCTTTCTTTTTATGTTGTTATATAATTATTATTATGATGATGATGATGGTGATGATGATGATGATGGTGATGATGGTGATGATGATGATGATGACACAGTCTATGTAGTCCTGGGTATTCTTGAACTCAATTTGTAGACCAGGCTGGCCTTGAACTCAAAGAGATCTGCTTGCCTCTGTGCTGAAATTAAAGGTGTGCACCATCATGCCCAGCGGAACTGATCCTTCTTAGACCACTTTCAGAGAATCTTATTTTAGAGTTCCTGCCCGATACCATCTCCAAAGATCACTAGTTGTCATGAGTTTTTGAGGTTTCTTTTGCGGGGGCTTGTGGAGGAGGGTAGTAGGTTCTGAAATATGTGTCAGACTTATGCTTGGTTCTCCCTACTGCTACCTTCACATTCAGATTGCTAGGGTCTGGGAAGTTATATTCCACTTTTGTATCAATTTCCAGTGTATTTTAGCTGTTGTTTTCCCCTGCCTTTCTCATCCTTGGGAACTAATGATTTTTTTAAATAAGTAAATAAATCCTTTTATTATTGTTTCAGTGGGGTTTGGGAAAGGAGTAGAATTGGATACAAGATTCTGTTTACATCTTATGTGGTGATTTGGTTATAGTGGTTGTAAGAGCTTCATGTTGGTACCCACTAGTCTAACGATTAATTCTTCCATTTTACAGTTTCTGACGAACATCTCTCATCGTAAGTACATACTCTTGTTTGATTTTTTTAAAAGTTACCATGTTTTAAGACTCATATCCTTTCAGTATGTTTCTTGGTTTTTAAAAAATAGGAAGAGGGCTGGAGACATGACTTGCTGCTATTCCAAAAGACCCAAGTTCCATTTAGAAGATGCACTGCCACCTATAACTCCAGCTCTAGGAGTTATAGAGCCCTCTTCTGGCCTCTGTGGGCACTGCAAACACATGGCACACAGACTTGCACATAGGCAAAACTCCCACACACATACATTTTTTAAAACATTAAAATAAAATAGACATGGTGGCACACTTGTAATCCCAGCGCTTGAAAGGGAGATGGTATGAGGACCAGAGAGGGGCTTCAAGATCATCCTCAGCCACACCAGAAGTTTGAAGTCATCCTGACCTATGCAGGACCTTGTCTAAAAACAAAAACAAAGAAAACTAAGGATCTGGAGAGCTACCTCAGTGGTTAAGAAAATTTGGTTCAGTTCTCAGCACTCACAGCAGGAGGTTCACAAAGCCTCATATCCATCCCCCTTTTCACCTCCATGGGTTCCTGTACACACAGTGCACCCGCATATACTCAGACACAGCACGTCACATAAAATAAGGCAAATAAGTCTTTTTAAGTAAGCAAATAAGTAGAAAATAGACAAATAATAAAAGAATGCAAATAAGCAAAAACATTTAAGAGAAATGAGAAATATTTCTAATTATAGTAATAATAATAAAGATATTTTTTTCTATAAAATTAGCAACTACAGAACAAAATGTTGACAAAATATGGAGAAAGGGACATGTAACCCCTTGCTGGTAGAGATGGTAGAAGGTAATCTAGTGTCTTAGTTACCTTTCTACTGCTGTGACAAACCATCATGACCAAGGCAACTTACAAAAGAAAACATTTAACTGGGGGCTGCGTATACTTTCAGAGAGTGAGCCCCTGCCCATCAGAGTAGGGAGATGTCAGCAGGCAAGGAGACATGCACAATGCTGGAGAAGTAGCTGGGAGCTTGTGTCTGACACACAAGCTCCAGACAGGGAGAAAGTGCTAATTGGGAATGGCCTTGGGAAACCTCGAAGTGTGCCCCAGATGACACAACTCCTTCATCGAGGCCACACCTCCTCATCCTTCCCAAACAGTTCCACCAACTGTGCCCGGGGGGGGGGGGGGGGGCTCAGACAGAGGAAAGAAAGAGAAAAAGTAAGTGCTTGCCCAAGAGGTGAAAAGGGAAGACGTGTTTGGGTGTTTTGTTTGCGTGTTTATCTGTGCACCACATGCATGCAGTGCCCATGGAGGCTAGAGACAGGCATTGGCTCTCTTGGAACTGGAGTTACAGATGGGTGTGAGCTGCCATGTGGGTCCTGAGAATCAATTCCAGGTCCTCTGGAAGAGCAACCAGTGCTCATAACTGTGAGCCATCTCTCCAGCCCAAGTCCATGGGTTTTGTTAATATTTCCAAACTAAAGTTAGGTTTTTTATTTAAAGTCTGAGGATTGAGCAGGGGAGGCAGGTCAGTTGTAAACTACTTGTTAAACACAGGTGCCTGAGCACAAGCCCAGCACCCTCTAAAAGCCAACTGTGCCGGCTGTGCTCCTAATCCCAGCACTAGCCTCCTGGCAAGTTGCAGGCCAGTTAGCAACCAAGGATGTCACTTGAGGAACAGCACACTCAGGAGGGTGCAGAGACCGAGGGAGAGGGAGAGCTCAGCGGCACAGTGCTTGCCTAACGTGTGTGAGGCCTTGGCTTCTGTTTCAGCACCACCATCAAAAAGAGACAGGAGAGTGATCCTTCGTGTCTTAGGATCAACCCTTCTAACCCAGTGTCCTTGTATTCCCTAGGCTGAAGTTTGTGTTTGGGTCATCGGCCATCCAGGCCTTGGATTTAGTTGATCGAGAGTCCGTCACTTTAATCTCATCACCCAGTGGAAGGCGTGTTTACCAGGTAGAAGTCTAGAGGTGGGGATAATCCAAACAGAAACCCTTAGGGCATAAATCTCTTCACAATCTCTGTGGAAGCTGATGACCAACATAAAGTATGGACATCCTGGACCATTAAAAGGCTTTGACCCAACTTAGTAAAGTTAACATAATCATAATTTAAGATTTGTATTTATTTTGAATTGACAAAAACCATACATTTATGGCATACAAAATGTCTTGACATATGATATTTTATGAGATAACTTCATGCTATTGACATATCCAACTATCTCAAACTATCTTACATGCCTACTTCTTTTGTGATGAGAACACTTAAAAGCCCATTCTCTTAGATATGTTCAAGTCTGCAATACATTGTTAGTGTAGTCAGTAAATTTCCTGAGTTTATGTCTCCTTCTTCAACTATTTCCCTAATCTCCTCTCCTCCACTCCTAAAATGCTGGGTCACCACCATTCTGCTTTTGCTTCTATAAGCTGGATTATTTTAGATTCCACATAAAGCTCATGTAGTATTTGGTCTTTCTACACCAGGCTTGTTGCACTTAACAAAGTATCTCCAGGCATTTTAGAAATTACTCGGTATCACTGTGTTAAACAGTGTGGATAGGCTCTTTTCTCAAGTATTACCAACCTTTGCTCTCTTGTTGATAATAGGGGCAAGTGTGCACGCGTGCACACACACACACACACACACACACATACACACACACATGTTTATTGACATTTTCATCCTGTTCATAATCTCATGTTTATAGGAAAAAACCAAAATGCTTCTTGAGGTTATTCTGTATGTATAGGTTAATTTTGTCCGCACTGATCTTTTAAAACTGTTGTCAGAAGTACTGAAGTATTTATAGTGAGTCAGACTCCTGAGTCTCTGTGGTCCTTAATTTGCCCCTTGGGGCTTACAATAGATCTGTGATGTGACAGCCTCTTACCATACTCTTATTACTTTCATGCTATTGATAATTCTCAACAGAAGCAAAGCCAACTATTTCTTTTGCAAGAAACTGAAATGCAGAGGGTAAAGTAACAGTCAATCTGGCTACTTCACACTGCCAGACTCACAACACGAGACTAGGAAAACTATTATAAACAGTAGGCCAGCATAGCCACCTGCACCCAGGATAGCTTCACGAGACAGTGGTAAATGTGGCCACAGTGGAGGGAGGGGCCTCTTATGCACAACATGGAAATGCTGGCAGTGGTGAGCCAAGTTGGTGTGTGCCTCAGAAGGGTTAAGATAGACACCATCCGTGGGGTGGGACATTTTTTTCATTGTTTGAATTCTATCTTCTGAGACCAAGTCGGCAACTCTTAATTCTTAGAGAGAGAGTGATTTGAACAAAGCCTGCTCTGCCAAACGCGTGTGTCTACTTAGGAGTCAGCTTGCCATTCCATATTGTAGCTGACCTTATTTGACCTAAAAGGTCATCATGTGTTTCTTCATTAACAAAATGGAATGTTGGATATATTTACAATTTTTGGATAAAACTTTTCTACTCAAAGGGGAAATTTTCTCATGGTGGGTTTATAGATGAATAATAGTTGGAGCCACTGAATTTGTTTCTTGTGTTATCTTTTTGTATCTTATATACTTAAAACATTCAGAACTTCAAGGACCCTTCCAGTCTCATAGAATTTTGGTTCCAGGACTGCAGAGACAGCTCAGCAGTCTTCTTGCAGAGGATCTGGGTTCAATCCCATTACACACACAGCAACTCACAACTGCCTGTAACTCTAGTTCTGGGAATCTGGTACCTCTTCTGACCTCTGTGGGCACCAGCCATGCACATGGTACACAACACATAGGCAAGTAAAACATATAAAATAAAAATAATATAAATCTTTTTTTGTTTGTTTTTTTGAGACAGGGTTTCTCTGTGTAGCCGTGGCTGTCTTGGGACTCACTCTGTAGACCAGGCTGGCCATGAACTCAAGAGATCCATCTTCCTGTACCTATCGAGTACTGGGATTAAAGGCATGTGCCACCACCACCTAGCCTTATAAATCTTTTTATTAAGTTTCAAGTTAAAAGACTTTTTTTTGGGTCTCAGCTCCATTATCAGCTGACCAGAATAGGCAGACTCTCACTGTCCCTCAGTTATGTGATCTGGCTACTAGCTAAAATTTTAAACGTCTTGTTTAAAACAATTTGAATTATTTTTGTCATTATGACTTCCTTAATGGTTGTTCATCATAGTCTTTATTATGTTGCTCTGTCATTGAAAATAGACCCCTAGCTATGTAGCTGTCAGCTTCATCTTTGACTTGAGTTGAGTGAGACTGGAGCTCTCAGACAGACATCACGTCCATCTTATGGTACATTGTGCAGTCATCAGTAAGACTCAGGGCTCATTCCTCAGCACTGGAAGGGGACAGAAGTTGAAGCAGACGCTGCCTTGGTGCCCAACTAGTGCCCTTTCCATGAGTCAACTTTTACTCCATAGGTCGGCCCAGATGTTTTCATTATCCTCAGGTGTAATGTGTAATTATTTTAAAGTCATTGTTCTGTTGCTGTCACCTGAGCTGCCTTTTAGACACTTTCAGTACTTAGGAAGGGGCTACTTCCGTCAGGAAAGGCTCAGTGCTGGCAGTCTGGAAGCCTTACAGAACAAGGTTGTATAACTTACTGCATATCCACAGGAGGCAGCTGTAGTTCAGCTCCTAAAACATCTGCACTCAGGGATCCCAGTTCCGAAGCAGCCCTCTTGGAGGACACTGGAGAACATGGCATACTACAATCTTTAACATTTTGCTCAGCTACTCACATTCTGTAAGCTACCACAGCTCACACAGCCAGTCCGTATCAGGATAGGGACAGTAAGCCCTTTTTCCAGAAAGAGGCAGCAAACACAGGAAACAATAAATGCAGCTTCCCAAATGCAGTAGCCTACAGGGCCTGAGGTGGTTATAAGGTGGTTGCTCTGACTGGATGATGATGGGGTCACTCTCCATACAAGCAACCCCAAGTCACTACAGACTTCCTGCCAGGGAGACTCCTGAGAGTCCAGTCCTGGTCTTGAGTGTGTTCTTTCCTGTTTCCCTTTTTAAGATCTCCTTGCAGGGGTGGGGAAAGGAGGGGTGAGTGGGGGCACATTCCAGCCTGTGCTGTGAGTGGAAGAACTCCGAGCAGTTCCTGTAAGAGAGGGTCCTTCTTCCACTGAAGAGTGAAGACACTAAATTAAATTACCCCTAAGGTCAATTTCCAGTTCTAAACATTTCTAACTCAGATTTTTGCCCGATTGTTGGGTTCATTAGTTGTCAACTGCTAGATAAGGAAGAAGCAAATTAAAGCACTTCTGTCTTTAGAGTATCTGCTGCCCCAGGAATTTGACCAGTTTACTTTGAATCTCAGGCAGCCTTTTGAAAGCATAAGGCAAGGGGACCTCTGTAGAATTTATCCCTATCCCTAAATCACCAGGCTTTGGTTCAACATAATCCAGGAAGCATTCTGATAGATCCAGGACCTGCAGAGTCCTGGAGGCTTTGCCTGTTTGAGTCTAAATCTAGAGAGAAAAGAAGGCACATTAAAGGTATATTCTTTGGTAGTCTGGAGAGCCGATGTCTACCATGTCAATGCTGAATGCGGGTGAGTTTTCTTGAGGATGAAGTGGGAAGCAGTTGGCTTTAATGTCCGTTCATTCTTTCTAGACTCACTAGGGAAACTATTGGTGCTCAGCGCTGTTGGTGTCATGTTCATAAGACAGCAAACCTCGGAATAGGAAGTGTATAATGTTTAGTTTTTAAGATTTAAACTGTGTCTAGGTATGGTAGAAGGACATTCCTTATCATCTCAAATCCCCCATAGAATTCTGCTGACTTAGTCAACAAATTACCAGAAAAGACGTATCATATTAAGCACTAACAGACAAACAGAAGCACAGCACTTGAACCTATTATTTCTTCTAATTAAGGCCTTACCTGTTACTTGTTCTCAGGTTGGGGCAGAGGATCCTAGGAATGTTTACATTATAATCTTAACAAATCCTGACTTTTTCATTTAGATTGCCATCTTAAAACCTAAATTTAATTTGAAAGCCTTGTGGCAAATTCAGATATGACAGTCTACTGTAGAGTAATTGAAATGTTTTTACTTCCCTTTGATGGTGATAATCTACTTCATTTGGGAGCTAACTCGGATGTAGCTTGCATTAACTAGTGTTCATCACTATAATGAGTATCTGGCATAAGTCACTGTGAAGGAGAATGGGTTTCTATTGGCTAGTAGTTCAGAGGTTTCCATCCACAGCTGATGGGCCCTGTTGTACTGGCCTAGGGCAGCACAGTATGTTACCGTATATTATTGCAGGAACAGGAGGCTGAGAAGGCCTCTTCACCTGGCAGCCAGGCAGCAAAGGTTGGAATCCCAGGATCTCTTGCAATGGCATGCCCACAGCAGCCTAACCCGGTCTAACTGTACCCTGCCTCCTAAAGTTTCTACCACTTCCTATATGCACCAGGAGATAGCAATCAAGCTTTTAACACATGTGCCTTTGGGGGGCATTCAGAATCCAAGCCATAGCAAGCTGCCAACAGGAAATGCTTAGCTACTTGGTGGTACAGTGGTTTCTCCACAAACTGGTCCAATCACACCACAGGCAAATCTCATTTTCCTTTGATGTTTCCTTTGTGTTCCTTTTGACTGTCACCAAGAGTATTTGTTGTACTGGGCCTCTCACCAACACCCACGTATGTGTCCTTCTTCCATCCCACTGGATGAGCAGGCAGATCTGAACTTGCCTCCTTTCCTGAGACCTCCATCCTGAGCTGCTGAGTCATCCCTCTCCCCTCTCACACCCTTTCTGCTTCCTTCATCTGAGAGCAGCTGTGTTCCTGCCTCCCATGCGCTCTGCTCCTTTCCACACTCTGGGATTAACAGCAGCGTTAGAAACGTCCATGCATGCAGCCTCATACTACTGGTGAAGGGCCCCACAGTAAAATGCACACGAGCTTTTCTCCAGTCCTTTTTAGTCCCTACAGGCTGAGACCTGCGCATCACAGAGAATAAGAGGCTGTGTGGAAGGCTGAATTAGACAAAGTCTTCTACCGCCTGAAGTCCTAGAGAGCTGAAGAGAGAAGAGTTTGTACCCCACAGAAAGAAAACTTTGTTTTCCCTTTTGTATAAACTCCACTGCAGTTCTTCACAGTGATGTCCATCAGCAACTCTTGGGCACTGAATGGATCGTCAGGACCCTGTACCAGGAGCAAACCTTCTAACACTGTTCGTCCTCTTCTTCCCAGGTGCTTGGGAGTTCTGGCAAAACATACACGTGTCTGGCTTCCTGTCATTACTGTTCATGTCCAGCGTTTGCCTTCTCAGTGTTACGGAAGAGTGACAGTCTGCTGGTAAGAATGGGCTGGAGAGATGGCTTAGAGGTTAAGAGCAATTCCCAGCAACCACATGGTGGCTCACAACCATCTAGAATGAGATCTGATACCCTCTTCTAGTCTGTAGGTATGCATGCATACAGAACACTGAATATATAATAAACAAAACAAAAAAAATGGACTCTTGCCACTGCACCCAAGTTGGGAGAGAAAAGACCAGCCTCATTTCAGACTTTAAGTGCTACATACATTTTTGGGGAGGAGGTTATACGGAATGGGTATTTCCCTCAATATTGGAGAAATTGTGGCTTATTATCCTTGTCTTAGTCACCTCTTGAATTCAGCCTCCTAGAATGCAATACCATTTTTGGTACTTCACCAGATTCCTGTTTTGTTTTGTTTTGTTTTTAAAGATTGTAGAGAAGGTTGTGGGGACAGTAAAGTAATCTTGGAAATGAGTGCTGGGGAAGTAGACAGCCCAGTAAAGAGAGAACTAAATAAAAGGTGCTCACACCTCATCCCACTGCTTGTAAAGATGGCTTTGGCCTCACATTCATCCTATGGAGCAGGAACACCTCCATCTACATCTCTGCCTCTTTGTGAGTCCACAGAGTCCAGACATCAAGTAAGGAGAGCATGTCTGCATACTGCTTGTACCAAAGGGAAAGAGATGCACTACCCTCCTCTGCTAAGAGGATAGTGCATCTCCATTCATATACCCCACTAGCCTTGAGTGTGGTATATCTCACCTGTATAATGACAGGATTGAACCATGGTCCTCTCAGGATCCAATGCTGTGTTCTGTGCCACAGGTCTAATAGGGTCATCTCCACACATTTCTGTATATGTGAGAATTTTCCCTATGCTCCTTCCCCACCCCAGAAGACAACAATGATTAAAGTGGAGTACAGGCTCTGCATGCTCATTACAATGAAGTTTGAACCTGCTGGGTAGCTATTAGATTTGCATGAGCTCCCTTGTGAGGAACGGTGAGCAGAATAGTGCCTCAAGGGCTGCGGCCGTGCTGTAACTGCACTCTGAAGGCCAGGACAAAACCAACTGAAAGCATGGCAGAGTTTCACTTTCCTCCTTGCATGTGATAGTGAGGGGTTTGATTAGACTGGTCAGACATGATCCTGCTTGTTCCTAACAAGTTTGTGTTTTGTATTCCAGTGTAAGCATCTCCTGGCGATTTATCTTAGTCAGGTTATGAGAAACTGCCAGCAGCTCAGTGTGTCAGACAAGCAACTGACAGACCTATTATTGATGGAGAAGACACAAGAAGCATAAAAGGTGCAGGAGCAACATCTTTCAAGACAGAAGCCTATCAGGAAATTCAGTCAACATTTCATGGTTCTCAAGGTGGAGAAATAAGATACACTTCCCAACTTGTTACTGTCACTTTGCCCTCATAGGCTGCAGGATGGGCTTTGGATTGGCACTGTAGGTTGCAGAGGGTTTGTGTGTGGCTAAGAGCCCTGTATGATCTTAATATGAACCAGCTTCTGAACCTCACAAGTAGAAATGTCCCTGGGTACAATTCAGTATTGTTGGCTCAAATAAAGCCCGATACCATGTTGTGTCTGCAACTAGATCATGTTACTAAAGTGCTAGTGATGTAAGGGTGGGATGGTGGACCAAACTGAGTAGGAACAGCGTAAATGAGAACATTAATCCTCACAAAAGGATGAGAGCAGACATGTAGCTAAATGGCAGCAAGTGTGAGAAGATGAGGACTCTTCTGCTATGCTCATCTGTGTGCTGGTATCAGGGCAGCTTACGGGGCTGTGCTGGGAGAAATGGTGTGGAGAACAGGGAGAGCTGGGTTTGCTCTGTGAGCATTTCTAGGCTTTTATAGCATGATAAGGAACATGCTAAAGCCCTGGAAGGAAACTAGATCCTACTAGGAATTTCACATGAAAAGAAAAGACAAAGTAGGTCCCAGGAGTGGTATTGGAGAGAAGAGACGAGACAGACCCAGAGAAAGCAAAGGAACTATGAGAAAATAACCACAAAGAGGAAACAGATTGTAGCCCGGGTAAAGGACTTAAGAGGTAAAGCCACAGCAGCCAGAAGGTCCTAAAGGGTTGGGAATTCCCTGCCTCTGTGAGCACTCGTCCTTTTAGGAACTGAAGAAATAGACAAATGGAATGAGTGACTTCATAGCCTGGGGACACCCCCCCCCCCGCACTGTTGTGCCCCAAACACAAACTGTTAGTGAACAGCTGCTGGATAAAAAGCCACACACATGTTGCTTTTAGAGAACCAGAGGGCTGGCTGAGCATTATGTTGAGTTGTAGCAAAGAAAAATTCAAAATTTCTTTGCTAGTCGAGAGCCCTGGACTCGGTATGAGCTTCCCCTTTCAGTGGCCTTCAGGGTTGGTGCAGACAGCACACTATGTACAACAAGCCAGTGCAGTGCCTTGAACGTGTTTTTACAGTTTTATTTCACTGAATATAATGCACAATTAGGTATTTTCCTTAGTAAAATTTCACACTGTGGGTTCCAATAAATCTTAACTTGGGAGAGAAGCAAACCCAGTCAGAACCTATGTCAAGAAGCAGGATTCTGTTGAGGAGGAACCCATTTCTCCAGTTTCTATCTAGTATTTTGTGTACATGGAAAACATTGAACTTAAATTGTTTTTTAAAATTATAATTCTATTTCAAAACTTAGGAGAATATCATTCTCTAAATTAATACAACAGAATCTTAATTAAAGAATTATACTTTAGTTTTCAGGGTTGCTGTCCTAGGAACAAGTATACAATAGTATAGCCGACTTTTATTTTTCCATTGCCGTAAGTGAAAAGTACTTTTATTATAATAGTTCACAGTGTTTCACAGTAAGGTAAGTTTCAGTCATTTTCTACCATGAGTAAGGCAGATTCTTAAAAATAAAACCATCTTTGGGAATCAGTTCAAGCTGCTGTCGTCATCCACACAGAGCAGCTGAACAGATTCATAGGTGTATTTAACCTTGGAGCCTACTGATTGCATATGCATATTAGCTAGACTTGTGTAACTCCAGGTCGGACTCAGAAGAGCAGTTCATTTGCTTGGAAGGTGCAGCTGCCTTTCACAGTGAGAATCAGCCAGTTGTATCGAGTCCCATTGTTTATTTTAAGCCTTCTCCAAAAGGCCAGAGCCTAGGTCATAAGCCCAGACTGAGAGAAGACTGTGCCCCGGCCTGCCCACTCCCACCTTTGGTGTCTGTCTGGCAGAGAACATAACTGGAGATGATTCTGTGGAAAGTGTAGCGGAAGTCTCGGTTCCTGTAGGCATATACAATGGGGTTGACGACTGAATTGGCGTGCGACAGGAGGATGGCAACATTCATTAGCCACTTGGGCTTATCCCTGGCAAGATCCGGATGGAAAAGAGTGACACAGTTGATGGCGTGCACTGGTAGCCAGCAAAGAGCAAAAATGCCTACAATCATGGCCAGTGACTTGGCTGCATGGATCTCTCGCTGCAGAGTGGTCCTTGAGTGGTCCATCAGCTCCATGCGCTGCAGCTGCTTACAGGCCACCATGAAGATCTTGATGTAGATCACCATCATTATGAGCAGTGGAGGAAGGACACACCCAAAGAAGTTGAAATACACCATGTAGCTCATGGGGACCACATTCTCAAAGAGACACCTCACAGGACAGCAGCTTTTATTCATGCTTCCATCCCCAGATCCTGTGCAGTTGCTGATGGCTTTGTCTTTACTATTCCAACCCAGGAACGGAGTCAATCCAATGCCAAAGGCAAGGACCCAGAGGAAAGCAATGATCCCTCTTGCTCTGCTCCCAGTGACCAAACTTTTATACCTGTTAAAGAGAATATTATCCATTATTGGTCATGTTACAGTATTCCTTAACCAGAGCCCAAAGTCCCACCCTGCTGGTGTCCCATGGCCCTTTAGCTCACCTGGCCTTGAAGGTCCATTTCCTGGGGCACCATGGCCATTACTTAACACAGAGACACGGGAGCAAGTGTCAGCAGCTTTGCTGCAGGAAGCTCAGAGTGACTATCATTCTTAGCCAGGCATGGTGGCACACGCCTTTTATCCCAGCACTCAGGAGGCAGTTTAAGACCAGCTTAGTCTACAAAGCAAGTTCTAAGACAGCCAGAGCTACACAGAGAAACCTTGTCTTGAAAAACAATGACAAAAAATAAAAAAAAAAACCCACCTCATTCTTGACTCAGTACTTGTTTCTGTTCAGTGACAAAGGTATACATGTCTTAGAGGCCCTTTTTAATAGCCTCTGTACTGGTAATTGCAGGCCTCCTGGAAGGCACTGTTGGAGTAGTTGAGATATGCCAGTGTATAGGACATGTCTGTGCTCGAATGTTAAAGGACCGCCATTGTTAAGGGGAGATGTCACTAACAAATAGTGAGGAGACATGTATGTGAAACCTGAACAAAGGTCCAAGGAGTTCCCTGGACTCAGCTGACTCTGCCTGTGGCTTTTGACAAGAATCACTTCTCTTAACACCCGAAATTTGCTTTGGGACTGGTTGTGATGGGCACACACCTATGGCCCTCCAATCAGGAGGCTGAGGCCACAAAGCAAAACCTTATCTCACAAAAGGAAAATGGCCCTCTTCATACTCTGGGCAGGGCACGGCTGACTTCTCTGCAGACTCTAGAACAGAGACTCTGTTAGTGGCTCATCGACAGAAGCCACCAGCAGGAGAGTTGCTGAAACTTGGGAAACCAACATCGATAACTGGTCCTTAGTTTGTTACACATATTTTTCCCTCAACTAGAATGACAACCACCTAAGGACAGAGCATATCTTACTGAATTGGTATCTCAGGACCAGTATATAGTCTGTTCTTTTTTTGGTTTGCTTTTGGCTTTTTTGAGACAGGGTTTCTCTGTGTAGCCCTGGCTGTCCTGGAACTCACTCTGTAGACCAAGCTGGCCCCAAACTCAAGAAATCTACTTGTCTCTGCCTCCTGAGTGTTGGGATTAAAGGCACGAACCACCACAGCCCAGCTGTAGTCAGCCATCATGAAAACATCCCTCATTTGATACCTGTTAATAGTAGATTTTCAGCAACTATGTACGAGGAATACTCGATGCTGTGGCCTGGGCAGGCAGGACAACCAGTTCAATCTGCAGAGGAAGCCCACTGAGACTTGGTTCATACATAATGACCGTTTGGCTTTGCCGCTTCCTCTCAGCAGTAGGCAGCTTAGTTGCAGGGCCTTTGCTACAGGATGGCCTGCTGAGCTCAGCTGCTCACTGCATTTGTCTTGGCCAGTGATGAAACTCTCTGAAAAATGTTTTTCCTTGCCAGTGCCTTACCAGGGCCATCAATAGCACAGTTAGTCTCTGCAAGGTAACAATGCCTTCACAAAGGCTAACCACTCAGAATCCTGTCCGTGAGGTAGCCTGCACTACAGCTCTGCCCTGGACTCAGCCATATTAATTTAGTTCAGCTGAACCCAGGCCAGCCTTGGTGGACTGACTGTGGGGTAAGCAAGTCCTAGCACTTCCGTTCTCTGGCCAGTGATTGCTGAGGTACAAACAAGGAAAGCTTTAGTCTACGACATCATGGAAGACCTCTCAGTGGAAGCTTATGGATGAGAGGGAGGAGAATCCTGAACAGCAAGAAGATTCCAGGCAAATGGCACTCACACGGGCTTTCAGAAAGTGCCAGCTTACAGACTCGAGGCCGTGGAAGACTTGCAAGCCAAGGAGTGTTCATGTTGTAGAAGTCACTGGGTCACAGCAACTGAGTTTTAGGGATGCATGAGGACACAGAGAGAGCAAAGAAACTATTTCAAAACTCAAGAAGATGCTCTCTGGGACCAGGATTCAGCCTGGATGATGCAATGGATACTGGAAAAAAAAATCAACAGACCTTGAAGATGGATTAGATGGAGGATGGTGAAGAATCAGGGATGATGCATGGTTTTCAGGGGGTTTTCCCCAGTATCCTAACATTCACTGAAACAGGTGACTATGGGCTGTCATGAGAAGAGTGGATGTTAGTAACTAGTGATGGAGACCTATAGAGAAGATGCAGAAAGACTGACCCGGGTGTTGGGTATGGTGGCATGCCTGTAATCCTAGCACTTAGGAGGTGGGGACAGGAAGACCGGGAGTTTGAGGTTAATATACGCTATATGAGGCTATCCCCAGCAACCTCCTTCCCAAAAAGAAAGAACAGGCCATCAAAGAAGGCTGAGGAGGCAGAAGGATGCAGAGCTGTGTGAAGGGATGCTACCTGAGTCGTGGCAGAAGAAAGGATAAAAAGGCTGGTTTAAGAGCAAAGGCTGGATGGTGACGTGGGCTGTGTCTTCTTGAGAATTGTCACTTCACAAAACTGAGGAAGGGAGAGGCAGTTAGGACATGGGACTTGTCACCCCGGGGAGGGATGAGGAGAGCTTGCCAGGCAAACAGTGAAATGGCCTTTGGGATCTTGATGGTGGTGCCACTTTGTATTTGACATGGTGCAGGCTGGGGCCATGGAAATGGGATTTGAGAGGAGGGAGAGGAACACCGAGAGCTGAGGGACAGACTGGAGCACTCAAGCTGGGTGAGTGACTCAAGTGTCTACAGACAATATCAATAGTAGGACGGCAA